TGATAATGATGAAACATTTCCTGCTTTGTAAGTAGAGCTGAAAATCGTCATAGTAAGTTTCTTTTCCCTTTTGGTAAAATTCCTTTCTTTACCCCGTGAGACACGTTGGTTTCCCAAGTTATGAATTCAGTTTCTTTTGTTTGTTCTAGCCACTTAGTTTTTCTTATTACAACCTGTTTAATTTTTAATTTCTCATTAAAAGTAAATATGGCTTATTTTCCTATCCATATTTCAAGAGGTCTTCCATTTCTCTCTGTCACAACCTTGATATAGCACTGTCTGGTGTGTATTACTACATAATTAAAACGCCATGGTTTTTTTGTTTTTTGTTTTCCTCATAAACAGAGCACTTCCAGGACAAGGTGACTGTTTAACAAACCACTACAGTATGAATTTAAAGAAGTTTGGTTTCTTTCTTCTTCTCCTCACCCTGCTCCTCCCTCTGTTTTATTTGCTCTCTCCACGTTTTCAGAAGAGCAGTCTTTGGTAAAGATTTTAACCGACAGCCAGATCTTCTAGGTAGTTCTAATCCTTGTGGCTCGCACTGCAGGTAGCACTGAAACTTGTAAATTGTCGTGAACCTTGTAGTGTTCATGGAACCTACTGACACCAGAGTGACAACCCTGTGGACGCTCTTATCAACAAAGCCCTTGTGGAAGTAGAAGTCAAACAGCCGTCTGGTCAGGGTTAAAATGCCATGTTTTTTTAATCAAATAGTTCTGGCAAAGCAACCTATTAATACGATTTAAATGGATCAGAGGTTTATTCCTGTCCAGTTGAGATAAATGTTACAACACTCTTCTGGAAGTAAATGATAAGTGGAATAATATGTACAGTGCTCTGGGGAAGGTTGCTGCAATTGTAGGAAAAATACTTAGGGATGAATGTATCATAGACCTTTTCAGTCAGTCTTGTTTATTTTATAATGTAGACATATTCAGCATGCTCATCTTGAGTCAATGGACAAACACCTATTAAGCACTGACTGTATACGAGTCACTATGCTAGGCTCTGGGTATTCAGTGGTGATCAAAATAGATAGTTCTGCCCTCAGCATTTATGCTATAATCGTGGAGCTCCCGGTGTGGGAGCACCTGGGTGGTTGGATCATAGTGACCAAGGCAGAGACCAGTGTGAGCTGAGACCAGAGGGGTAGGCAGGACAGTGGTAAGCACGAGCGTGTAGTTACGGTCAAGAGTTTGGACTTCATTCCAACTGTAACGATAAGCCATTGAAGGCTTACTGCAGGGGAATCCCACTTTAGTTTTATAAAAATTACCCTGAGCAGTAGTGAAAAATGGTTGTTGGGTAGAAGAGGAGAAGCAGAGTTTATGTTGTAATCCAGGCAAGTTATAATGGTGGCTTAGACTAGAGTAGTGGCTCTAGAGCTAGAAAGAGGTAGATGATACAAATAGTTTGGAAGAGTTAGCAAAGTGTGGTGGATGGGATTTGGGGGAAGCAGAGTGAAGAGGGAGAAGGATGTGTCGAGGATGTTGTCTATATCTCCAACCTGAACACCTGGGTAGCTGGAGATTCTGTGTCCTGAGATCTGGCACATGGGAGGAGGGGTAGACTTGGAAGGGACTGTCCAGTGTTCAGTTTGGGGCGTGTTGAATGTGAGGGGGAGGATATGTTTACAAGGCGGGGGGTGGGGATGGAGTGCAAGGACCAGCCTACTCTTCCTCGCGCTGGTGTAACTGGTTATGGGCTGAGTACAGGTTAGAATAACAAGTCACTTTCAAAACCAAACACATTGCACTGGTTTCCAGCTTATGAATCATGCCTCTATGCTTTCTGCTACAGCTCAGCTCTCTAAAAATATCTATGTAATTATGGGCAGGATGAAACAATATTCATCTTACAGTAAGATGTGTGCCTGCCTGGCCCACAAAGTCAGGTTACAGATTTGATCTTCACAGGAACCAGTTAGATTTTCTGTTATCTTGTTACAAACAGGCTACATCCCTCACCTTGGATGGCTGACTTGATTACTTATTAAGAAGGAAACTGGGCCATAGAGCCGGTTTGGAATAGTGTCGATTTATCTTCGCTACTTAAAACTACGGTCTAGTGGCCTTTTGGAAAACAGAGCCCAACCTATATTATGCACTTCTCATGTTGGTTATGGTTCTATCTGCCTTTACGTTACGCATACCACATCATTTTATTCATCTTGTGATTTTCTGCAGCCAGTATTTTTATTTCCTTCAACAAATAGAAATGATAGAAATGGGCCATTTAGGGGCCGGGATTGCAAGTGTTTTGGTCTTTGCTGTACCTCTAATGCCTGGCACAGGGACTGGCATGCATTTGGCACTTGATATTTATTCTAAAAACTAAGTGACTGAGGAATGGCTGAATAGTCATTCTATAAGAAGGAGGGCTAATTCAGTTTTGGGAAATCAAGAGATCAGGTGGACTGTATTCTTCCTACAAGGTTGTGTCCCTGAAATCTGCGAAGTCAAAGCTGTAAAATGTAAATTTGGGAGCCATCCTGATAAAAAGAATTACAGAACCCATGAGAGTGGAATTCCATAAGTGTATGCAAAATAGCGTAGAATAAGAATAGAGCGAAACTGAGAAGCAGAGGAAGGGGAGTTGGGAGGAGGCAGGAACGTGCAGGAGAGCACAGCATCCCAGGGAAGAAGGAGCAGCCAGCAGTGGGGAGATAGAGCTGAGGGTTAATGTGAGCCTGGGCGCACAGTGTGAGACAAGCTTGGGGAAATTCCACTGTCCTTTTGTTTATACTCTCCACCACTAACGATTCCAGTCGAGAGGGGACTTTTTCTTAAGCAAAGACATAATTATGTTTGATTTTCTGCTGTGCGTAGCCTGCCATCATAGGACACTGTACTGATATCGAAGGGCTTATTTTGTGATTTCTTATAAGCTGGTTACTTAATGATCAGGCCCATATCTTTCCATTGCTCCTGTTACAGGTAATGATGTTTGATATATATAATTATCTAGGGGAATTGGAAACATGTCACAGTAGTTGGAGATCTGAAAATCAACCTGAACGTCAAGGTGAAAAATATAGACTATTTCTCCAAAATTATCTGGGAGCGTTTCAGTTGAAATTTTATTAAATTCTTTAGTTCATGAGAATGCTACAAAGCTATAATAATAAGCCCTGGCAATAAAGAAACCTGGGGTTGTGCTAATAATGGGGGTACACCCATAACACATACGTATATATAATATTTTCTTGGGCGTTTCTTTTGGGTGTGAAGTTGGTAAGAATCCCTGTGTGGAGAGGGATGGGGAGTACATTTGAGTCTTATTATTCGAATGTTAACGTTGCAAAGACTTTTTCTCCTAAGTGAGATTACTTTATAGTAATGAAAAAAGTAGCTACCATTTATTCAGTACCTACTTTGTTCCAGACATGTTACAGTAATCCTGAGAAGGAGGTATTATTTCTAATTTAAAGTGAAGAAATTGAAGTTTAAGTAATTTACCATAGATCTCAGGGCTAGTAAGTAGGAATCTAGCTGTTTTTTACTCTAAAGCCCATGCACTTTCTAATGTGCTGTCTGAATGAGAACCTTTAGGGTATCAGAGTGCATTATATATTTGATTGGAGCCAAGATAGCTCCACAGGGAAATCAGAAAACCATTAGATGAGAACTTTTTCAGCATCCTGTCCCCTAATCTGCCTATTTACCCATATCTGCACCTAAAATTCTTCTTCCTTCCTGTTATGATGCACAAGGCTATTCCCTCTAAGGACTTGATTCTTTTTCTCTTTTGCATCTTTAGTCTGTGTCTCTTTCTTTACTAGCTTTTCCCCATAAGCCTAACCTAGACCTTTTCCGAAGCAAATACCTTCTGTATTGGTTAGTAATTGCTGTATAACAAACCACTCCAAAATTTGGTGAAGTTAATTTAAAATATCATTTATTTAGCTCACTGTTCTGTGGGTCAACGAATTAGTCTGGGCTCAGCTGGATTTACTTATGCATTTGTGGTCAGCTGCTGGTCAGCTAGACCACTTTGCTTCTGAGGCATTAGCTGGTCAGTGGCCAGGGCCATCAGGGTGACTAGAGCATGTGTCTTCCATTGTCCAGTAGGCCAGCCCGGACTTGTCCACATGGTTGCCTAGGAGGGTTTTAAGAGAGAGCAGAAGTCTGCAAATCATCTTGAGGCCTAGATTCGGAACTAGTGTCGCTTGCTTTTCATTCTGTCAACCAAAGTAGGTCACAAGGCCAGCGCAGGGCATGGAGAAGTAGACCCGTGAATATGGCACTCTTCCTCGTGGGCAAATCCAATCTACCCTCCAAGACCACCTCAGCCTGAGTTGTGTGCCTTGGGTCTGGGCTTCCTCTGTCCCTGCACTGAGAACATTGTGTGACAGTTGTTGGTTTACTTCTTAGTAGAAAGTGAGCTCCTTAAAGACAGCGACTGTGTTTTAATCCAGGATTTGGCTCATAGTAGGTAACTTTTAAAAGTGGAAATTTTTCTGAAAATAAAGCAGTCTAGCAGTTGACATCTGGTGATATGGCATAGAAGATAATATATGCTTGCATTTTAAGACTTGCTTGCTAATGTTGAAGAACTTTGGAGCAGACTCTATCTAATATATAAATATCGAATATTTCTTTAAAAAAGTGAAGGGGTGAAGAATTCTCTCCAGCATTCTGAGAAGAAGTAATTATTAAATATTTGTGCACTATCTTTGTATGTTTTTTTGTTAGGTTATAAGTTTGTTTATAAGGAAGACAAGTTACCTTTTCATGGCATATTTGTCAGCAAAAGCATACCCATCCATTAACTGGTCCACTGGGATCTGGGATGACATTTCTCCTTTAGGATGTAAAATGAGGAGGGACATCAGCCAGTGTCCTGGGCGTTACTCTGGAAGACACAGAAAATAATGCTTCTGTTAGATGGGAGATGAGATATACATAATGTAAGCCCATCTTTTAAGTGAGCACGTCTTGTCACTGTCCTAATTCTTAATTGACGGATTTTCATGTGCATTTTATTTTACATCTTAGGCTCAGCTGCCTCTGTATCTTCCCAGATTCTTCACGTCTGACCACATTTTCCCGTCACAGGCTTGATATCTAACCATGCAGCGGAGGTCAAGAGGAATTAGCACTGGGCTGCTCCTGCTCTTTTCTCAAATCTTCCGCGTTGGGATCAACAATATTCCACCTGTCACCCTAACAACTTTGGCTCTCAACATCTGGTTCTTCTTGAATCCTCTGAAGCCGCTGCTTAGCTCCTGCCTTAGCGTGGAGAAGTGTTACCAGCAAAAAGACTGGCAGCGCTTACTGCTTTCCCCGATTCACCACGTGGATGATTGGCACTTGTATTTCAATATGACATCCATGCTCTGGAAAGGAATTCATCTGGAAAGAAGACTAGGAAGTAAATGGTTTGCCTACGTCATCACCACATTCTCCATACTCACTGGGGTGGTGTACCTGCTCCTGGAATTTGCTCTGGCAGAATTTATGGATGACCCTGACTTCAGAAGGGACTGTGCTGTAGGTTTCTCAGGTAAGGCAGATGCATTTCTAAGGTAGTCCGCATGAAAACAGTAAGGGAGGTGCAGCTGTTGTCATTTTTTGAAGCAGGGGTCCCAGTTGGTGAGGGAACTGAATTCTGAGTGGCTAAGCACTGCTGGGGCTTGGATTTTGGTGAATAGGCTGATTGGAGCACAGGAGAGACATAGATTTTGCTGTTTCCCATTATGCCGCATCATTCACTCTTGGACAGTTGAGACTAGGGTCTGCCCAAAGGTAGTTTTGTAGGAGACGTGGTCCTGGAGATATGCACTGGCTCCATTATGGTGGGATGAGGGAGAGAGGCACTGGTGTACTTGTGGGAGTTCTCTAAAAAGATGGGTATGCATCTCAATAACGCCATTAAAATAAATGCACCACACCCTACAATGGCATGCTCACTGTGTTTTCAGAGCCATGATAGTCTTTATACATAATTCATGCTGTTTAATTAATGTAACAGGTCCCTAGGGAGGTGGCCTTGTCTTGATTTTGTAGATGAGGAAGCTAAGGCCCAGAGAAGTCAGGTAACTTGCTCAAGGTTGCACACCTCATAAGTGACGGAGCTGGGATTTGAACCCAGTCTTCGTGGCTTTAAACACGTATTACATTGCCTCTCACTGTTCCCCTCACTAGTTCTTTTTTTACATTTTTCTCATAGGACTAAATTGCCATCAGGACTTAAAATAGGTATCGTGAAAATTAGCATGTGAAGGGTAGGAGGGAAATAGTCCCGAAACCAAAGGAGATCAAACCCTTCCCTCTGTTTTCCCTGCCGTCCTTACCCCTTCCCTCTAAGGTGCATCCTCATGCATCTGATTGTGTGAGAAGAAAGGAAATAAGCCCTGCCTTCAATATGTCTTTCCATAGGAGTTAGAAAACTACACGTTAATGATATTTTTTGAATTGAGTTAAAAATCACATAGAATGAACGATTTTGAAGTTTACAGTTCAGTGGCATTTAGTATTGCACCATTGCGGGTGTCTTATTCCCATTTTATGTGTTATATATTTAGTAGCATACTCAAAGTCAGTATGAACTTCCGTGTTAAGAAACATCAAAGGAATGATTGCCTTGAAGACTGTTTTTCTACCAAATGCTGGGTTGACTTGTAAGGAATAGAGTATGTTTCGAAGCAAAAAGTTGGATGTAATGGAATAATCATTTTCACTTTCAGTTAGTTTTCTTTGTAAATGTTAATCATCTCCACATTTGGATTGTTGATATTTATATGCTCTTTATCCTCTTTTAGGAGTTTTGTTTGCTTTGAAAGTTCTTAACAACCGTTATTGCCCTGGAGGCTTTGTCAACGTTTTGGGCTTTCCAGTACCCAGCAAATTTGCTTGTTGGGCAGAACTTTTGGCTATTCATTTCGTCTCGACAGGGTAAGTGTTTACTCTTAGAGAATACAAATGAAGAACCTGATGTTCCATAGAGAAAGAATTATAGTCATAATGAGGTAATCAATTGTCTTTTACAGTGAAGTTTTTCTTTAACTATAAGGACAGAATCCAGCTTAATGGTTTTAATGTCAGATATTCCCGTGTTTGAATCTAGTCAGCTACTGACCTGAGTGATTTTGATGTATTTGTCTTATCTGAGTTTCCATTTCCTCACCTTTTAAGTTGAACCTGATACACAGATTTGGGGATTAATATTAACCAGCCTGTCAATTAATTAATTCTAATAACAATAATCTAAAGAGGCACATAGAAACCACGTTAATTAGAAAGATACGAAATCAAAAGGTATGTTGGTCCAGTGCTTTTAAGCAATTTTAGTTGTGAATTTTCTTGGTGGTAGACTCTTTAAACAAAAGACTTTACTCACAATTTTGATATAGAAAATTGATCAACTCTGAACTGTTTTGGATGGAGAGGAAGCATAGGGCTCCACTCCCTTTGCCTTGCCCCTGTGTCACTGACTGCCTTAAGAGGCACCTCCACAGAACCTTAGAGCTCCAGGGAACACATTTTGGGAATCACTGATGTCTGCGAATTTCCTTTACGGGTGAGGACAGGGAAATTCAGAAGGTTTAGGGACTCATCAAGCAGTGTCGTGGTAGACACTAGACTAGTTAGGATTCAGGCCTCTGGACTCCTGGTCTGGGTGTTCTCGGGGGGGAGACGGGGGTGAGGTGGGGCGTGCTTTTCCGCTTTGGTTCTTTTCTCTACTTTCTGTTCAGGAAAAAGAGAGTGAATTGTGTTATTTTCCCACCTCTTCCACCAGCTGCACTTCTCTTAATCTGTGTAATGCACCTGGAAGCCCATGGTTTGCTCATTTATTTTTACTTCGGGGACCTGGATGCTGTTTGGAGAAGGGGGAGATTCAGGAAGATTCAGAAAGAAGTAAGAAGGATATTTTTCTGCTGCTGTGCTTTTCAGACAGGAGCTTTTTTCCTCAGCTTTCCATTTGTGTGACTGCGTTGGGTGTCGTACTTTATTTGAGAGTATTCTCCTTGGGCTGTGTGTCAGCCCAGTAACCTTGAGTCCTTCTTTAATGCTAATTTCCCATCATGGGCAGCCATTGCCAGCTGGTCCGTAAAAGGCAGTGATGTGGCCACTGAACACCACTCATTTGCAACTGTATTGTTATCTTGTGACAGTTCCACGAAGAAAGCCTAACAAAATCTTCAAAGTTTTCTTTGAAAAAGGGTCCAGTAATGTCTGTCCCTTATCTGAACAGCCCTCTCTATACCTTGTCACTCACAGCTCCCTGACTTGCTTGATGTGACTCGGTTCTCTGTGGAGACCAGAGACTCTTGTGTGTGAGGGCAACACCCAACATTCATATGAAAATCACTCTCTCTGGTACTTGAACTTTTATTCTGTAATGAATCCATTGAACAGCAATGCCTTTAATAGTCTCATGCAACTATTTCTGAAGACTCCATCACGCATTTTATTTTTTTAGGGTTCCCCCCCCCTTTACATAGATAAGGGATGGTTGCATTTTTATGTAATATGCTTATTCTGCGTGGAGGGACCTGATATTCTGAGCTTGGGAATTAAATGGAATTTCCTTTGCAGTTTGAAAGACAAAATCTTTTGGTTTTTAAGATTTGACTGCTTTGAATGATAAACTTCTGATATCCAGGCATCTGCTTATGCATGTGTCCATTGAAGACGGAGCTGAACGCTGGTCCAGGAAACCTAAGAGGGGCATGCTTTTTGAGATGGATCTTGGAAGGATGGGGGAAACCAGAGCTCTCTGGGCTCTGCATTGTTATTCTCCTGGTGGTTGTCAATTAGAGTTTTCATTGGGGAAACACTGTAAATCTTTACAACAAAGCCTGCTTTATCGACGGACTTAATGAGCTGCCCTTTGGGAGAAAAAAAAACCTGCCAGGCAAACATTTGGTGGACCTCTGTGTTTTATGAAAGCCACAGAATTAGTAATTTCCCCAGTTAGGGAGTTTTATGGAGGGAAGCCACTCCAAACAGCCAGCCGTTGGTTCAGCACTGTGAGAGGTTATGGACTTGACCAGCAGAGTGACGTAATCGCACTCCTTTGCTGGAGCTTTTGCTTTTACAGTTCTCGTGTGTCCCTTGTTTCAGTGACATCTTTGCCTCACGTGGTCTTTTACTTCCCTGCATGTCCTGGGGCCCTGGTAGGTGGTTGTGTTTAAAGAAGTGACCCTCCTCCCAAGGTGGCACAGTGGGGAGGTGATTGCAAAATTCTAATTTTCACCTTAAAGCTCAAATTTTATCATTGACAATAAATATCACTAGTTGTTTTTTTTTGTGGTACGTGGGCCTCTCACCGTTGTGGCCTCTCCCGTTGCGGAGCACAGGCTCCGGACGCGCAGGCTCAGCGACCACGGCTCACGGGCCCAGCCGCTCCAAGACATGTGGGATCTTCCTGGACCGGGGCACGAACCCGTGTCCTCTGCATCGGCAGACGGACTGTCAACCACTGCGCCACCAGGGAAGCCCTCTTTTTTCTTTTTAAATGTGCATGTGTGGCTGTGAAAAATACAGCGACTACTGGTACTGTTTGGAGTCACCGCCTTGATTCATTTGATTCAAGCGGCCAAGGCACAAGCAATTGGACCCACCATTGCTTTTATACCACTAATGCAAACATCAACACGTGGAAAACGGCACATGATACCTCAGTATAATTATGAAAATAGTTCTGACTTCATGAACTGCTGGAAGGGCCTCTGGGACCTCCAGTGGCCCATGGAGCACACTTTGAGAATCGCTGCTCCCAGCTCTCATGCTGCCTCTCTAGCACTACTCTTGACCGTTTCTTAGCTTGTATGAAAGGAAAGATGGGGAGCTTCATGCAGTCAGGGATGGCAGAGAAAGGGAAGCAGTGAAGTATGTGAGAACGTATATTGTATAACCACTGAAATTGCTAATTAACGGTTGCTAATTAGCATGAACTGTTAACACTGTCTGAAGGAGAATGGCCACTTGTCACTCTCATTACAGGGACTGACTATAAGATCTGCCTGTGTTCCACACAGGACAGAATTCCTTAGATGCAGGGAACTCCCGTCCTACTTTCAGTTCTCTCCTTGCGTCTGCTTACATTTTGTGCTAAGGTGCTTCTGGCATATTCATCTAAAATGCAACATGCAGTTCTTTCTTCCCCAGTAGTACTGAGATAGGGAATATAAAAGAAAAGTGCATTCGGCTGGCATATACTGTTTGAGTGTCAGTTGACACCCCTGTGGATCTAGCTACGTAGTAGTCTATTGGATTTTTGCCTTGGGAATTAGAACTGAGGTTGGGGAATAGCAATTTGGAAGATGACGGTAACACCATCTCCTGTCCCACATGTTCTTTTAGAACTTTGCCACTCTACCTAGAGGTGGGGTCCAGTGTACCTCCCCCTGAATTGGGTGGATTTGTGACGCAGTGTAATCAGTAGATGGCAGCAAAAGTGCCATGTTAATTCTGAGGCAAGAAGTTTCTTGCCTTGTGAGCTGAAACACTTGCCCATGGAGCCCATGTTCCCTGATTCCACCATGCTACGAGGAAGTGGCGCGTGACCTGTGAGTGAGTGGCCATTATATACAGCCATGAGTCCCCTCAGCCTCAACATTGTGGAGCAGAGACCTGTCACCCCCTGTGCTTTCTGAATTCCTGACCCACAGAATCTGTGAGTGGAAGAAAACAAGTGTTGTTTTATGTCACTACATTTGGGGAGATTTGTCCTACGTAATGTCAACGAGTTGAATGAAAAAAAAGGGAGGGAAACTAGAATGAAAAGCAAAGGAGTACAAAGGGCAGTGTTTGGGCAGTGGGGGAGAGAGTGGAGTGAAAGCAGAAGAGAGCCAAGGGTGGAGGCCTGGGGAGGAATCCATGCTGAGATGCTGTGGTACCACGAGTCATAACATCACCACTCATCAAATAGCAGGGCTTTAAAGCAGTGGTTGGCAACTGTGGGTTCTAATCATTTAAAACGTTCTGAAATCAATGTAGTGGGTCACAACCAGCATTTGAAAGAAAGAGAGAGAGAGGGAGGGAGGGAGGAGAGGAGAGAGGAAGGAAGGAAGGAAGGAAGGAAGAGAGGGGAGTGGGAGGGAGGGAAGGAAAGAGAAAGATGGGTTAGTGTTGAATGTGGTAAGGGTATTATTTCAAGGAACTTTTGTTTTAGCTATATGTATGTGTGTGCTATATTTCTAAAAATGTATTTTTATTGTGGGACACAGTACAAAGATTTTGGGAGGTGTTGCTTTAAAGCAGCTACTAGTTGCTTAAACTAGAGTTAAATACATTTATAGGATCAGAGACATTTATTGCCTTCAGCGAAAGAGGATTAGATTGCCAGGTCTTTGGTGGCAATGAGATGAACAGGCTGTGACTCCAGATTTCTACTAATTTATTGTCTTTCATTAGAATAAGTGCTAGTTTACAAGGCTTAGCAATGACCGAGGGAACTCTCAAGATAGCTGTCTGTGTATGGAGGTGTATGCTAACAGAGTTAGACTTCACCTAAACCAGAAATGCTAGTAACGGTTGTTCAGTTATAAAGTTATTCGTAAAAATCCTTTGAGAATTCAAGAGAAAGGGGTTATCTAGAGCAAAGGAGACAATGAAGTGTAAAAGTTGCCACATTTTCCCAAAAAGTATAATATTCCTCTCCAAGCCTTTTAAATGTAGACGTATTCAATAACTTAGTAGAAAATAAAACAAAACCTGAATGGATATAGGGTTAAAATATACATTGGGAGTTTGTGTAAGCAAGCAAGTGGCAAATAGGTAAATCCAATGATACTTAATTGTGCTTTGGAGAGAATGCTCCTTTGACAAGAATGGCCTGATGGATGAGAGCTAAGCAGGAACTGTGGTCTTCTCAGGGCTGGGGCTGTGTTATGGCAGCCCATGGAGAGGAGAGAGGGCTGCTGTCTGAGATTCCTGTTCTTCAAGGG